TTTTTTTTTTCTTGTCTTATTCTATGATGTCAATATTTTTTATTGTTAATCGTCATGCTTATTTTACGATTAATGATTAACGCGTAAAATTAAAAATACATAATTATAATTAATCATAATTATTAATATTATTGAATATGACAGCTCGAACTAGAGTTAAATTAAATCTGAAGAAAAAGAAACAATTCAAATTGTGGGATCAAAATGTTTAGAACTTTTGGCATTTTTTTTATTATTTTATGTAAAATATGAAGAGTTTAGGTTTAAATGATATTTTCATGTAAACGATAATGATCTACATGAAATATGAAAATTTTATCGATCAATGTAAAAAGATGCTTGGAAACAGATGCGAGTTTCATGGCTTCTGAGATAGTCGCTAGAGACGCTGACTTAATAAATAGCAATCCCAATCGTATTGCGAAAAGACTCGAGCAGTTTCTGTCCGACAGAGCCGACATCGTTGCGGAACGATATTTATGAATCGGCAACTATTCATTTAGTTCAGTTAGGATATAGGATTGACAAGCGAGCATTACGGGCATTAGAAGAGAGGCGTGGACGTCGCTCGACGAAGGATAATACCAGCTCCCGAACTAAGTCCAGACACGCGTGGCAAGCATACGAAAAGGACTAAAAAAGAACGGGACGTTTCTCTCGCGAGAGCGAATATTTCTTCTTTTAGAGCGGCGATCCTTAAGTAAATTAATGTCTTCGAAACGCGCCTGCTTTGGAGATCGTTAATAATAGCGCCGCGTCGAGAAAATTGAGCGGCTTATTTGAGATTAATTATAGCTTTTCGTATCAGCTTGTATCCTGTTTATTTCGTATTGACAACCCCTTTCGTTCACCTGTATCCTTTCAGGATAAAATATACCATGTTGTATATTATTATTATTATTAAGAGGTAATTTCACAGATGGAACTTTGCAACTGAGGGAACGCTTTTATATATTACTCGATTACAATTATGTAAAATTCATTTTTTATATAAAAACTGTGCACAGCAAATACACGATGATATTTTCTAAAATTTAAACCTCACATTATAGCGTCTAATAAAATAAAGAATTTAATATATCTCAAGGAACAATGACATTTTATTTAAAGGAAGCTATTATTAACGCGATTATCGGAGAGATTGTTTAATTGAAAATTCACAGTTGAGAGACAATGAGTTAGCGTTGAAAAACGTTTCCGCTCGGTCTCGCACCTTGAAACGCGTTTAATAATTCCGACATTCCTGCAGACATATTCGTATGTAAATTGAAAATAATACACGAGAGCGAAGGCTCTCTCGAACATCGATCAATGAAGAACGCCCAAGATGAGCCGGTCTTTTAAAGCCTGATGTTGAATGATGAATAAAGCCTGGGCCGCTGCAAATCAAGTTTTTCTTGCTTTTTAATATGATGAAAAAGTAAAATTAAAAAAAAAAGAAAGAAAATTTTTGTTATGGGGGGAAGAGACATCTTCAAACTCGCTGAAAACTACGCAGAAAGTAGAGACATTTTGTGTTATTATCCCTTTTAAATTATTTCATTAATTTAAAAATTAACGTATTGATAAAATATTACATTTGTAAAATTCATAATTTAAATACATAATTCTATTGCGCGCGATCAACATTCTAGTAACGAGAGGAAAGATTTTAAGATTCGAGTGAGGAGGAATCGGCCGCTTTGTGTACGTGCATTCACAAGGGAATTAGCTGCATCATTGTCCGCGCGGACGGACGAGAGAAAAGAGGAAAAAAAGAATTATCGACTGAATGTAAATATGATAAAAATCCGCGCGTCATCCGGTTGACGAGGAATGTTCCTCAAGGCGTTGCGATGCATCTCTTATGCGCTACTTTGCAGAATCATTCTTCGATATCGAACGAACAGTCGTAGATTGCTTATCGATCGGTTCGTTTGACGTCAAAAATTGTCATTCCCGTTCGTTCTTTTCCCCCTTTCGAGATCATTTGTGTAGGCAGCACGAACGAGATTATAAATGATAAAGAGTAGTTATTGGAAAATCGGTGATTTTGGCTTTCAACTTAAATATTTATCGCGAGATCGTGCTTTTTCCTCTATTGTAACTCGAATTAAGAGATTCGATAATATTCTCTTAACGAGGAGAACGCTACATCGATAGGAAGACAATCAGCTGATCGATGTTTACCAAACGTCAGTGACCCTTGACACACAAGGATAATTGAAAGCAACAAGCCGTTTCCCACGTAACGTCTAATCAATAAATTCAACACCTCTCGAGAAACTTTTAAACTAATAAATATATGTAACAGATGACAAGGGACTAAATTAAGGGAGTACTGCTCCGAGTTTCTTTAATAATTATTTAAAACTTCGACCGAAATAAAGTCAAATGTTTTCACGACGAGGTAAGCTATTGTTCTTTATTTCACACTTTCTCACTTTTTCTTCTCGAATATTCAATATTCACTCCAGGGGGATAATTAAATATATTAACATAAAAAATATTTAATATAAATATAAATATAAATCAATATTTAATAGTAGTATTCGCTGCTGCTGAATATTTTACGAGATTTCTTTCATCTATAAAGAGTTTTCTTTTTTTTATATTTGATTATATCCTGACTTCTTTTTTCGTCATAATATGATAATTTGTTTTTTTTTTTTTTTTTTTGTTAAAATTAATTCGACATAAAATCATATTTATGATTTTGAAATTAAATTCTACAAGGCTAAATCTTTATTTTAACTCACAAATTAATTATTTATTTTATATTTTAAAAGGTTAAAAGTGCTTTGTGTATGCGCAACGTCAAATTCATGAATCTCGAAATGTATTAGATTTATTAACTTTTGGCGTAGCTGATCTGTTCAGTTCCTCCTTATGCAAAATATAATTTACAACGGATTTTTTATCAAAGTAATTTATACAAGATTTCTGTGGAATGAATATAGATGTACTATACGATGCCGTTTGATATCAAAGAATCCGATATAGCGATAATGTAATATTGATCAAGCGCTGGATGTAAATCAGGACTTATGGGTGATTGTTCAATAAAAAGAACGGATCATCTCAACGTAATCGTCGCTCGATTTATTACATTTGTACATATTTAGTTCTCCTCTGACTCCGTTATTTCGAATCTCTCCTCACACGTTCTCCGTCACACACACGTATCCCATATTCTGTCATACCCTCCCGGCTTCGCGTGACGAAGCAAAACGTGAAAATTTCACATTTCACCAACCATGTCGGGCGCATACACGCAGAACATCAGGCAGACAAGAAGGACGCTCTCCCGGCGGCGCTATGTGGACACCGACCGTTATTACATCATTATACCGTAATTAAAATAGTATGTTATATATCTGGAACCGGCGACGGTCCGGTGTTTTTGGTTTTTGCTTCTTTATTCTGTTTAGTTATAGCTTAGTTTCTCTTCCCTTCTAATTCAACGATTACGCGCACTGCCTTCTTAGCTACGGGCGAAGAACAGACTCGAGAGGCACACACGCTGCGAGTTTCGATATACGATATTTCTCTCAATTAACGCGTGCACACGTATGTAGGATTGTATGACTAATGATTTTTACTTTTCTCCGTTGTTTTTTTTTTTTTTTTTTTTTTGTTTTTTTTTCGAAAGACGATACTGTCGCGGTGTAACTTTGTTACATTGATCTAGCTTTGAGATTTGCTGTTGAGATTTAGAGAATAAGTGAAATTTCTAACCTGAAAGTATACAATTTTTTCGCAGCTGCCTCGCTTCTTCAGGATTATCCCTCAATACAACGTAATTAGATCACCTATAGTGAGAGATGCGTCGCGTGCGTGCTACATTCCATTCCTTCTTCTTCGTTTTTCTTTCCCTCCTTGTTTCCTCCCCTTGCGACTCTTCGCATTACACGATGCAACATTGTGTCGGGGCACGACTCGCCCCGGCTCAATTTGTATATGAATGAACACGTATTATATATCCGCAGGATGTTGAGAAAAAACAAAGAAACACCTAGCCATTTTTGGGATCGCTTTTGCGGCAAGAAAACTAGCGAAAAAAGAAGCATCCGATCGATCGATCACATGTACAATCAAGCATATTTCCTCGATCAATATCTCGATCGTGTACTTTGCCCCTATCCATCGACATTGTTAACTAATTAACGCTAATTACACTGTTTAAGGCAGCGACGACTTTATTCGTCCTGACCGCTAGCTCGAAGACGAATATTTTTGCTTGAATATCTGATCTTGGCAGGAACTTTTTATCTCAAGATATATCTACACGTTATATATATATATAATAATTTATTATTTGTCATATTAAATAAATTATACAAATGATATGAATTATATTTATATACGCGACAGTGTAATCTTTAATGAAGGGTATTTTAATTTAAAGTGTTGACATTTTTTTTCCCGAGAAGATTTATCTTACATCGTGTTATATTTATATACATTGAAAAAAATATATTAAATACAAAAAATTGTTTCTGATTTTTAAAAATTATTTATTTAAAATTTAAATACCTGTAAAGAGAGAGAAGAATTATAGTTATTTCAATCAAGCAGTAAATATATTTGAATTAGTAAAATATATATAAAATAAAAGCAAAGTATGTTTTTATTTGCAAATAAAACAAATCTTTTTTCTTATCTTTATTATATTAAATTCCATAACAAAAAAACAAAATTAATTTTTGGTTGCTTGTTTCAAAAACACAGGTTTTCTTTATTTTAAGAAATAATTTTTTATCTTCAAATAAATATCTTTTTTATATTAATATTTTAAATATATTTAAAAAATTATAATTTTTATTACATGCAAGTAATAATTTACTTAATATGACAAAACATTTTTAAAAACAAAGTATGTATTTATTTAGGTCTTTAGGTAAAAAAAAAAATCAAAATTTACAGAATGTATTTATTTGATGGAAAAAATGTTATTTTTAGTATATCATATTACATAGACATTATATGATTTTTTATATATGATATATTTCTATTTCAAGGTTTCACCGGGACCCAATGCGAGATCGACATAGACGAATGCGCGGCGAGGCCGTGCCTGAACAACGGCATCTGCACCGATCTCATCAATTCCTTCAAGTGCAGCTGCGCCGACGGTTTCGCCGGCTCCCACTGCCAAATCAACATTGACGACTGCGCCTCGTCGCCGTGCAAGAACGGCGGTACCTGTCAGGATGGCATAGCGAGATACACGTGCGAGTGCCCGCCCGGCTTCACCGGCGCTTCTTGCGAGACCAACATCAACGATTGCGCGTCGAATCCTTGCCACAGCGGTACCTGCATCGACGGCGAGAACAGCTTCGTCTGCAACTGCTTCCCGGGCTTCACCGGCAAACTGTGCCAGACCCAGATCGACGAGTGCGAGAGCAGTCCGTGCCAGTTCGGGGGTAGATGCGAGGACCGCATCAACGGCTATCAGTGCATCTGCCGACCGGGAACGTCCGGTATCAACTGCGAGGTCAACGTCAACGAGTGCTACAGCAATCCGTGCCGGAACGCGGCCAGATGCATCGACGGTATCAACAGGTGAAGCTTGAAGCTTGAAGCTTGAAGAAACTATCTATCGCCAAGACGTCTTGGTGATATTTTAACGAATCCATTAATCTCTATAGATGATGATCAGGATGATGGAATAATACGAGTGCAAACATAATTTTGCAAAATCGTCGATTGTACCAATATTCATTATTTCTCTCTTTTTCAGATACTCCTGCGAATGCGAGCCCGGCTATACCGGCCAACACTGCGAGACCGACATAAACGAGTGCGCGAGCAATCCGTGCGCGAATGGCGGCCGTTGCATCGACCTGGTGAACAGCTTCAGATGCGAGTGCCCGCGCGGCTACTATGACGCCAGGTGTCTGAGCGACGTGGACGAATGCGCGAGCTCGCCCTGCCTGAACGGCGGCACCTGCGAGGACGGAGTGAACCAGTTCATCTGCCACTGCCTGCCCGGTTACGGCGGCAAGAGGTGCGAAGCGGATATCGACGAATGCGGCTCGAATCCTTGCCAACACGGCGGCACGTGCAACGATCATCTCAACGGCTACAGCTGCAAGTGCCTGCCCGGTTACGCCGGGACCAACTGTGAGACCAACATTGATGACTGCGCCAACAATCCCTGTCAGAACGGCGGTTCCTGCATCGATCTCGTCAACGATTACAAATGCGTCTGCGAGCTCCCTCATACCGGCAGGAATTGCGAGGACAAGCTGGACCCTTGCTCACCGAACAAGTAAAGATTCTTCTCTCTTCCGAATTCATTTGCACGAGGAGGAAAACGATAGTTAGATTCGCGTATTGTGAAACATCACTGTGAAACCGACACTGTGTAAAGTCAACACTGTAAAAAAAACTGTAAAAAAAACTGATTGCAACTTTAGACAAGGTGTCTGCAATTCTTTTGCAGACACACTGTCTGAATTTTTAGACACTCTTCAATTTTCAGAAAAACAACTGAGAGATGATTAAGACAGATTGCCTGAAAGTTCTTTCAGATACCCAGATCTGAAAATTCTTTCTCAATTTTCAGAAAAACAACTCTGAAAGATGATTAAGACAGATTGTCTGAAAGTTCTTTCCGACACCCAGATCTGAAAATTCTTTCTGAATTTTCAGACACATTCATCTGAATTTTCAAAAAAAATGACTCTGACGATTAAGATAGATTGTCTGAAATTTTTTTTCAGATACTCGGAAAATTCAGATAAAAATTTGTTTGAGTTTTTAGAAAATTTTTTAGAGTAAAGATTACTGTTTATCGTATGATTGCACCCTATTGTCTTAATCAGAAGCAGAATATTTTGGAATATAATCTAGAGAAGAAACAAGCATTTATTTTAAAAAAATGCAACTCAGGCAAGATCACTCTTATATTTCAACTTCTTCGTAGCATTTATATATAATAATGTCCGCTTTTTTAAAAGCGCTTCGTTTGACAAAACGTATCTGCGTGCGAATCTATAGATACAATAGAACGACTTTATAACGCGTTGCTGCGTCATTTCCAGATGTCTCCACGGTGCGAAATGCTCGCCATCGTCCAACTTCCTCGACTTTGCGTGTACGTGCACGGTCGGTTACACGGGCAGACTATGCGACGAGGATGTCGACGAATGCGTGATGACATCGCCATGCAGAAACGGTGCCACTTGCCGGAACACCAATGGCTCTTACCACTGCGTGTGCGCAAAGGGCTACGAGGGCCGTGATTGCATCATCAATACCGATGACTGTGCATCATGTGAGTACCGGCTGTTCTTTATTCGCTACAGATGCAGATCTGCAGATCTTGCGCTCTCATTTGAGTGCCTTAATGCGAATCTGCAGAGCGTCATCTGTCCTATCGTCTACGACGACATGGATTAAATTAAAAGCATTTTTTTTTAAATAAACGAATATCGGCCAAATGATACTCAAAGAAATTATCTCTTTGCTGATTACAGTTCCCTGTCAGAACGGCGGCACCTGTCTGGACGGCATCGGCGATTACACGTGCCTCTGCGTGGATGGTTTCAGCGGCAAGCACTGCGAGATCGACATCGACGAATGTCTATCGCAGCCTTGTCGGAATGGAGCGATTTGCAAGGAATACGTCAACTCCTATACGTGCCAATGCCGGCGCGGTTTCTCCGGCATCAATTGCCAAACCAACGACGAAGACTGCACCGAAAGTAGCTGCATGAACGGTGGCAATTGCATCGATGGTATCAACAACTACACGTGCGTCTGCAAACATGGCTACACGGGGTCCAACTGTCAGTATCGTATTAATGAGTGCGACAGCTCGCCCTGCCAGAACGGCGCTACCTGTCACGATCATGTGCAGTACTATACCTGTCATTGTCCGTACGGCTATACGGGTACGCATTGCGACGCATATGTGGATTGGTGTGCCGACAGTCCGTGCGAGAATCAGGCTACGTGTGTGCAACTGAAGAACAAGTATCACTGCAATTGCTCGCCCGGATGGACCGGCAAGGTGTGCGACGTGGAGATGGTTTCGTGCAAAGACGCCGCGATACGGAAGGGCGTGCCGGAAAAGAATCTCTGCAACAACGGCACCTGCGAGGATATAGGCAACAGTCACCGTTGTCATTGCCTCGAGGGCTACACCGGCTCGTACTGCCAGGAGGAGATCAACGAGTGCGACTCGGCACCGTGTCAAAACGGCGCAACATGTAAGGACCTCGTCGGTTCGTATCAGTGTCAATGTACCAAGGGTTTCCAAGGTCAGAACTGCGAGCTCAATGTCGACGATTGCCAACCGAATCCCTGCCAGAACGGCGGCACCTGTCACGATCTGATCAACAACTTCAGTTGCTCCTGCCCGCCTGGCACTCTCGGCTTCATATGTGAGATCAACGTCGATGACTGCGTGATAGGCGCCTGTCATAACAACGGCACGTGTACCGACAAGGTGGGCGGTTTCGAGTGCAGGTGTCCGCCCGGTTTCGTCGGACCGAGATGTGAGGGCGACATCAATGAGTGCCTGTCGAATCCATGCGCCTCACCCGGCACCCAGGATTGCGTGCAACTAGTCAACAACTATCACTGCAACTGTAAGCCCGGCTATATGGGTCGTCACTGCGAGATCAAGGTGAATTTCTGCGACAGCTCGCCGTGCCAGAACGGCGGCGTGTGTACGGCTAAGCAAGATAGGCACACGTGCATCTGTCCTAGCGATTATCATGGTACGAATTGCGAGTTCGCCGGCTCCTACTGCGATGCCGAGCCGTGTCAGAACGGTGGTACGTGTCGCGTCACCGGAACCGGCTATCGATGCTACTGCACGCCAGGTACGACGGGCGCGCACTGCGAGTTCGACGCCCGGGACGAATGCAAAAGCAACCCGTGTCAACAAGATGCCCCTTGCGTCAACAAGATCGATGACTACGCCTGCGATTGTCCCCCCAAATGGATTGGCAAGAACTGCGAGATCTACGATCCGAATTATCCTGGTGGCGTGTTCGGTGTTCGATCGAATGTCAATGTTCCGAAAATCTCGAACACTTACGATTACAATACAGAGCGCGAGCGCAGAAAGTGTATCGAGAACCGCTGCGAGGAGAAGGCCGGCAATAATCACTGTGACGAGGAATGCAACAAGCACGCGTGCAACTTTGACGGGCAGGATTGCTCGCTCGGTATCAATCCGTGGCGTAATTGTTCAGCGCCCATCAGATGCTGGGATGTATTTATGAACGGCGTATGCGACGAAGTCTGCAACAACCCGCAGTGCCTCTTCGATGGCAGAGACTGCGAGCGAAAAGTCGCCCCTTGCAAGTGAGTATTTATTTTTTTGTTAAATTTTTTAATTATTTAATATTATGTTGAGCATTATCGCTCTTATTTGTCGCTTTTAAAATACATTAAAGAATTGTTATTGAACTTATTAATAGCAAAATTAGCTTTTCTATATTATAACAGACTTTTAATCCATCAGCTTGCTATATATTTTATGTTTCTATAGACTTCTACGTTTTATGAAATCTACTCTTCTTTTCAGATTTTTTTATATCATATCATATATCAAGATTCTAATAAATTGTGTGCATACATTTATTGCATTTTTATTTATTATTTTCTTTGCTTCTTGTAGTCCGGTTTACGACGCGTACTGTAAAAAACATTACGCCAACGGTCATTGCGATTATGGCTGCAACAATGAGGAATGTAACTGGGACGGCCTCGACTGCGACAGAGAGCCACCGTCTTTGGCTAAAGGTGCTATGTCCATTGTCCTGGGGATGGACATGCAGACCTTCCGCTCGAACGTCGTGACCTTTCTGCGGGAACTCGGCAACGAACTAAGAACGACGACACGCGTGAAGCAAGATGAACTCGGCAACGACATGATCTATCCTTGGAAACCCGAGAGAGACCCCAACGTTCACACTAGCATATTTGGCCGGCCGACGATGATCCATACTAATAATCAAAACGGTGTGATCATCTACCTGGAGATTGATAACCGCAAATGCATCCCAACTTCCTCGGTGACGTCGACGTTGAGTATTTCCCGTCGGGACGCCACAGGATGCTTTCCATCGGCCACTGAGGCGGCCGAGTATTTGGCCGCCACAGCGTCGAAGCATACGCTGTTGCGAAACTTCCCTATCGAGCAGGTGCGAGGTGTCGTGGATCCTCAGAGTCCGGAGTATCCCGACAGTCCAACAAATTACAAGTATGTTTTTATCGGCGTGGTTATCGTAGTACTTGGCGGTCTACTGATGGGCGTGCTGGTGACCGCGCAACGGAAACGCGCCGTAGGAGTCACGTGGTTCCCTGAGGGCTTTTTGAGAACCAGCAGCGGCAGCGGTCAACGGCGCCGCTCGCGTAGGCGCGGTCCGGACGGTCAGGAGATGCGTAATCTGAACAAGCAACCATCAGTGAATTGCATGGACCTAGACGTAGTGACTGGTCGGGTGCAATCTCAGTGGTCTGACGACGAATCCGATTTGCCGCCGTCGAAACGGATGCGCGCGATCGAGCCGGGTTACGCGAGCGATCACACCGCTATCACAGACTATGAGGAAACCGAGCCGCGCATGTGGACGCAGCAACATCTCGACGCGGCCGAGATTTGTCGACCGGATGCTGGTGGTGTGCTGACGCCGCCTAGCCTGGAACACGGCCAGGACGTGAACGCGCGCGGTCCATGCGGCATGACGCCGCTGATGGTAGCGGCGGTGCGCGGCGGTGGCCTCGACACTGGCGAGGAAGAGGACGAGAACGACGGCGCCGCAGCGAAGATCGCCGATTTGGTCGCCCAGGGTGCCGACTTGAACGCCAAGACAACGGACAAAAGCGGCGAGACGTCGCTGCATCTGGCCGCGCGTTATGCCCGGTCCGACGCGACCAAAAGACTCCTAGATGCCGGCGCTGACGCGAATTCACAGGATAACACCGGCCGTACGCCACTACATTCAGCCGTCGCAGCCGACGCCATGGGCGTCTTTCAAATCCTGCTGCGGAATCGGGCGACGAATCTGAATGCTCGTATGCACGACGGCACGACGCCATTGATACTAGCGGCGCGTCTAGCCACCGAGGGCATGGTCGAAGATCTCATCAACGCCGACGCCGACATTAACGCCGCCGACAACAGCGGCAAGACCGCGTTGCATTGGGCGGCCGCGGTCAACAACGTCGATGCCGTCAACATACTATTGGTACATGGCGCGAACAGAGATGCTCAAGATGACAAGGACGAAACCCCGTTGTTCCTCGCCGCCCGCGAGGGCAGCTTCGAGGCATGCAAAGCGCTGTTGGACACGTTCGCCAACAGAGAAATTACCGATCACATGGATCGGTTACCGCGCGATGTCGCCAGCGAAAGACTACATCACGATATCGTCAGACTACTTGACGAACACGTGCCGAGATCGCCGCAGATGGTCACAGTCATTCCGAATGGTCCTCTCATGGGTAAGCATCTTTATTACATCTTTATTCTATCTTTATTATATACATACATTATAAAACACGTCCTATTTTTGTACAAAAATTTTATTACCAGTAAAAAAATGAAAAGGAAGAATAATAAATATAATCTTCAATGAAGAAACTCTAACGTTGATTAAATTTGGCTCAACAAGTAAAATTATATAACATAATTATTCCTTTTTTTTTGTAGGCTCTCCAAATCATCCACAATTAATCACGCATCCCACAGTAATCGGCTCGGCGCCGAAGCAGACGAAGTCAAAGAAGCGGCCAAAAGCGGGCGGTGCGGGAAACCCAAACAGTCCGGAATCGGAGGGCGGCGTGGTGGTGATGGTGAGGCGAAAACCGTCGGTGAAGAAGCCGCCGGCCAAGCGTGGAGCTCAGCCCCCAAACCAGGAGATCCCGCAAGGAGCGGAAGGCGCCGATGGCAACTTGCCAACGAGCCCGTACGATAGCGCAAGCCTCTACAGCAACGCATTACCCCTAGTGGCTCATACGGCAACGGCGAAACAGCCGCCGCCATACGAGGATTGCATCAAGGGCCAGTCGATGCAAGGCCTGCAACAACTCGGCCTGGACACCTTCGCGACCAATTACGGGCTGCCGTTTCACGACCAGCTCCTAGCACCGCATCAGCGGCAGCAACAGGGGATGGTGAACACACTATCGCCGCCGTACAGCAATCAATCGCCGCCACATTCGGTGCAATCAAACATGACCCTCTCCCCGCAAGCGAGCTACATGGGCTCGCCATCGCCGGCGAAAAGTCGGCCGTCGTTACCCACCTCGCCCACCCACATCGCCGCCATGAGGCAGGCGACGCATCAGAAGCATGGCAGCATGCCGCCAGTGGGATTTGATTTCGATAATCTGCCATACACCTCGAGTCAGGCGCAACAGCAGCAGCAGCAACAGCAACAACAGCAGCAGCAGCAACAGATGCAGCAGACGCAGCAACAGGTCCAGCAGCAACCGCAGCAACAGCAACAGCCGCAGCAACAGCAGCAAAGTACGCAGCAACAGCAGCAGACGCAACAATACTACCAGTATTTGACGCCGCCGTCTCACCATTCCGGACCCGATGTCACGCCGCAACATCTCATGCAGGCACCCGAGAGCTTTCCGACGCCATCGCCAGACAGTCCGGGCCACTGGTCCTCAAGCTCACCCCATTCAAACAGCGATTGGTCCGAGTGCATAGCATCACCCACGAACGCCTACGGCGCCGGAGGCGGCGCTCACCAAAGCAACAAGGGTTCCGAGGCGATCTACATATGAGACTGGTGTAACGGTGCTCTCTTCCTCGTGCGAGTAAATCGTAAATCGTGAAAGAGAAGAGAAAAGAGATAGGTGTACGAACTGTGATCAGCTCGTCGCGAGTTCGAGCGTCTCTATAAGTGTCGAAAATGGACGACTAATATATGATAATGAAGGGCTCTTTCGCCGTAATTAAATTATAGTGGCAAGAAGGTATTTTTATTTTTGTTTGTTTGTGTGTGTGTCAGAAGAGCTACCACGGTGCTCACGCGCCGCGATTATTATGGGTCTGTTCTTTACAGCTGAACTGGCTGCACTAGTTCAGAGTTTATCTTTTTCTTTTCACATTGGAAGAAGAAAGATAAGCTCTAAACTAATCCAGCCAGTTCAGCTATAAAAAACAGATCCTATGTATATTTGTGCGTATCAATGTTAAGTTGAATAAATAATTATTCACGGATAATATAATTACGAATATGTATTCGTCATTATATATTTATATTGTTTATCAATGATTATTAATTGATTATTAATCAAGTTCCGGAATATATTTTTTGCTCAACATTGATGCGTATAAATATAAATAAATATATATATATATATATGTGTATTGCGTATGATGGAGGGATGGAAGATTTACGATCAAAGATATTACATGACATACTCAAATTGTAAAACCGATTGTGCCTCTCTAATACGATGCGACGTTTTAGGAAAATTGCGACCGAAGAATCGCGACTTATGAAAAATAGCCGATATATTTTTGATATCTATCGATTTTTATTATGTCGCGACGTCATACACAGCTCAATGAATAAACAGTGCCTTCGACTTGCCAGTGTGAAGGTTCCCGATGGACAAAAATTTATATAAGGGAGCGAGACTTTACTACTCTAACGCACAATAATTGTATATACTACAATAGATTTATCGTTCGCCGCTGTGTCTGTTATTCCACGGAAAGGACTACATAGTATGCAATATTCTATTTAGTTCCTAATATACACAGTGCGCATCTTATACACGAAGAAATTTGTATTGAATCGGTCTTTGATTTTTTTTTTCCCTTTTTATTATACTTTTTGATAGACCGATCTTTTTAGACTTCGAACGGTAGGATAATGGCTGATAACACGTGAGCGCGAAATGAGAATTGTGCCTTCGAGTTCCATAGAGTATAAGACACGCAGGTTCTATAGATGAATCTATTATTAAATTATGTAGAGAAGAAACGCAGCGTTTCCAAATGGCCTCTAAGCGGATCGAATGTTTATAACTGGTTGATGTATTAGAGATGCCAATTTTTTTTTTTTTTTTTTTATTAACGACATGTAATGTAATGTAACGTAATATAATGTAATGTAAGGCGAAGAGAAACGACGGCAGGACATCTATTATGTGTACGGTCGACGGGAGCTTCAGAGAATTCGTCCTTTCAGCTCGCATCGTTCCATACATAGACATTCCATTGCGTATGGCGCGCCAACATCCTTCACCTCCCTTCGATCCTTCCCCCTCGCGCTATTATGTTCGCCGGGAAATCATTTACTAACAAAGCTAGGGTAATCGTTAACGTTAATCTCTAAGTATCGATCGCCTTTAAATTAAGTACTCGGCGCGGAGCGGTAGGACAGTTCTCTGGTCTCTTCTCTGCCAAAGCCAAAACAGCATTTTTAATGTAATAATACGATCACGGCGCGTACAGATGGTAATGAGTAATAGCGACGCATTATTTTGTAGAAATTGTTTGTGTATGTGTGAGAAAAAGAGAGAGAACTTATGTACGTATGTATATGTATGTGAGAGAGAGAGGAGAGAATTAATTATTGTTGCGGGATGAAATAAGTTCATGCGCGCGCTTTTGCAATATATGAGCCAGTGAGATGCATCTTCGTACGTTATGCGAAGACCGCTACTGGTATCATCGGTACGATCTGTTTGTAGTATCGTCGAAGCTCTGTTTTAATCTTGTATCGAAAGATGAAAATGTAAAATGTAAATACTCTTTTATTCTATCCGCTCATATCTTTTACGTACTCTGTTTAAGTACTTTTATATAATTGTCTTTTCTCTCCTGAATTTTTGTACAAACACCCCGTTTTTACATATTTTTTATATATTATGTAAGTTTATCTATATATATATATATATATATATATATATATATATATATATATATATATTTCCTTTCTCAAGAACTCACATTTATCAGGTTGGAATTTCAAATTCGCCTGTCTTAATCTTTCGGCAAGTTTGTTAAATTTAATTTCGTGTTTTTGGAGTGAGCTTGCGTATAGGACAATATCGTCTAAATAAACAAAGAGTTCGCTACTCTGTAGCCCAGTCAAAACCTGATCCATGAGTCGCTGAAACGTTGCAGGAGCATTTTTAAGTCCGAATAGCATACGACTAAATTCGTAGTGCCCGTGAGGCGTAGAGAAAGATAAAATATCTCGTAAAATATTTAGTTTTCGATAATCTTACCGTAATACTTTTATGTACAGAATAATGAGACAAATCAATTAGTATAAAAAAGACAAATAATTGTTTAAAAAAATACATTGTAAATAATAACATACTTTTCTTAACAACAATTATTTTTTTTTATACTAATTGATTTGTCTCATTATTCTGTACATAAAAGTATTACGGTAAGATTATCAAAAACTAAATATTTTACGAGATATTTTATTTTTTATATCAAAATATGTCAGATTAAAATATAAAATAACTCAAAAAGTAAACAGTAATTAACACGCACTCCTTTTCAAACTCGAAAACCAACAAACAATGTTGATTACTGTTTAATTTATTTTTATGTTTATTTATTATCCGTGGTGTTTGCTGTATATTTGTTTTTTAATTTTTTAATTTTTTGACCGTTCCCGATATTTATAACAAGCAAATCTATGCATCTCTTTCTGTAAGTTCTCTACATTATATCGCGATGAATTATCATTTCCGTCAAGCATGCGTTTCCTCGTAATTTGATTGTTTTAGGCAGAGAGATGCTTGCGATCATTGCAACTATAAACAGCTTATTAAGAAATAGTCATGGACTATGGGGTTTATGCCTCTGGTGGTCCATGAACCTCAGAGGAGCGCACCTTATGGACAATGACTTTTGATCATGTTTTTGCCGGACTGCGATGACTTCTCCATACTGACGTTTTAGTTTTTTATATTTTATGACTCCGATTATTATTCCGACCTAATTTTAACCGAATCTGCATTAATGTGCTGATGAAGATCCAAAAAATGGACCGAAACGTAATATTAATTAATTATTATTAATATTAATTAATTATTATTAATATTATTTTTTTTGCGCTTTCCACACCGCGCTGGCTCATATTGCCTGTTTTCCTTATATTTCTTATTTATATTTACTTGCTCTTGTGTTAAACGTGAATTACCTGCGGCAAGTAGTAGTGGTACTGGTAACTGGAAGTGAGAAGTGTGAGAAGTTACAAGCGTGAAAGTGATACGAAAACGGATAATGATTAAAAGAAATAAGAAAACGAAGATAAAAAGAAAGATAAAAAATAATCTATATAACACTAAGAACAAAAATTTTAGCGAAAAAGTTACATGTGTGTGAGTGAGTACATTGCTTTGTTCCGTTTGTTCGATTAAATAAATAGCTAATATTAAAAACCTATCTTTCTTATATTTACGCGCTATTTGACATTTGCTACTCTTGCAACAAAATATTAAAATTCCATAATGCACATTCCACATCGTAATTCGAGCCGCGAAAGAATGCGGTATCATCGCGAGCGTGCTTTATTGCGGTGTTGCCAATTGCGTAATCGTAATACGAAATTAAGTGATGACTTACATCTTTTTTGTTGCCGGAGATAAGGATCTTCAACCATAGCTTTGTTTGCGTGATCATCGTGCACGTCAGAGTATAAATGGCAACTGTAATACAATATTATTAAACGGTTTCATGTGTTATCATAAATGAATAAGGGTCTTGCGCAAAATAACCGTCTTTTCTTCCTGCCTGTCAAACGTTTAAGACTAATCACGCGAGTGATATATTCGAATCAGAGCAATCATTAATTTCGTGTTACACATATTCAATTTTTTTTATTCATCTAGAAAAATTTGTATTAGATTATAAGAGTTGCTCAATCTACAATTCTAGAGAAATGTCCGCGTCCGAAGATTATTGCGTAACAAACAAGATGTAAATAAGCGAAGTTATCGCAAATTACGGATTGAAATAACATTGCACGCTACATTGCTGCACTTCAATTTCCGGTTTGTCTCACAACGAAACATACTCTCGCGTTCGATGTAGCAGAATACATGTTACTATTGACGTAAAATAACAAAATTACATGAATCTCGAGATTGGTTAGAGAATATTAGACAATACCCAACTATTATGCAGATGTACGATAATTCGGTTAACAAATGCAAATAAAAATTATTTACGGGCGAATACAATTCATAATTTCTCTTTTTTATTTCAATAAATAAATAAATAAGAGAAAGAAAAAGTCTCATTTATTAAATACTTTTAAACACATCCCCTCAAACGCAAAAAAAAAATAAAAATAAAAATGCGCAATAATAATAATAACAGTGAGCATAAAATATAAAACATTCTAAAAATGAGAGAAATTAAAGATAGATCAAAAATAAGTTCAGTATTATAAAGCGGTCAGTCATCAAAGCGATATTAGCTATTTCACTTTCTAAAAAAGATGTTATTAACATTGTTGCCTTTTTTCCGCGATGTTGATTGGTTCTCTCGCTGTGATAAAAGATATCTAGATAATAAATTTAATTTTATGTATATTCATTCGTTCTCTTGATTTGACGGCTTCGTATTCTCTTACGCCATACGTAACACTAATACAAATGATAACCGATAATTTAGATATTTTGATCGTGTTGCACTATTTTATTCATATACATAAAAGAAGCGATAAATAAAATTAAAATAAACGACGTAACACTAATGGAAGTTATTATATCGATTACTACTTCGTTTCGATATATTTCTGTTAATTTAAGAATATATTTTTAAAGACCGCATACATATGTGTGTACGATATGTACACATGTTAAATTCTTCGAGTGAAACGGAGATAACTATGTCCATTGCATTGTTCTCATTCCGTGGCTGCTGTATTCGGTGTGAAACGCCTTCCTAACATCTGGCCGTTTCTATGAAATGTCAAACATTGTCCACTGGCATAATCCACTTGCAACTATCTTGATTACGAATATATGCTTTTTTGAAATTCCGTGTCGCATTCTGGTCGTTAATGTGATATTGCGCTGTGCTCAGTTGTTGGATCGACACATGATAATTCAATGGAGTGAATGCTAAGGGTGTGTTCAGGAAGAACACTTTTAGTGCTATGAGCGTGCTCTGCATGTCCTTGTTCAACTTTCAGTAAATAACGAAGATAGAACGACGCTTTTAGCGCGTAAGCATGCTTCCCGAATGCAGCCTAAAGAAATATATGTATACACGTTCACGCGCATGTGTATGTATTATGTATACATAACATATACATTATAAATATAGTGTGTATTTTTTTAATATTTCTGATATGCAACTCATACAGCTACATATTTATTATATTATATTTGTTTCTTATATAAAGTTTATAATACAAGTTTATTAAATAATACATTTGCTTTTAGTACATTGAAACAATAAAATCATTTTAGTTCTTCAATCTACGATTCTACAATCAATTTATTATTCTTCAATAGCATATGCGTAGAGTGAAAATATAAAAATATTGCGCTATTTTCTTTCACCTACTTTTTCACTTTATATATGATCATATGATTACACAGTAAATATAAAAATTAGTAGGAGAAAATATTAAAAAGGTTAAAAATATGGTAGTGATAATAAGAGAATTTTGTATATACAAAAATGTAACTCCTTTTAATAAAATATAGTGATATTGATAATAAGAGATATTGTATATACTAATAAAAATTTAACTATATTTCATAGCTATTATTGATTATGGTAGTCACTAAATAATTCTGATTTCTTTTGGTTACAGAGAAACGACAATCTCGACTTATCTTTAAATATTCTGCAACATCATCAGACATCATATCATCATGACAGCTACAATATGTGTGACCAAGTGAGTTAATCGCTCACGGAAAAAAAAAATTTCGCTACCATAGCTAATCATGGTTTGCAAAATAAATTTCTAAACTGCAGCAAAACGGTTTGCTGTTGCACTTAATAAATAGGTGTCACAGCTAAGATGTTCGCTGTCCATATATTACGACTGAAATCTAGTTACCACGCGCAGTTTTTAGCTACGGCAGCTAATTTTTTTTTTCCGTGCTTGTTTAGCTTGCAATTTTATTTATATTAAAGTAACTGAAAGATTATTTTCATTTTTCTACATACATCTGGCACTATGCGCGTTTCTGGATTCGTTATTCGTGAATTTTACTGAAATTCGTTCTTCGCGATTGGGAATTCTCCATCTATTCGCACGAATCGTAATTAATCATTCGTGATTCGTGATTTGTCATCGTAGTGAACATATTGTAATTTATCACCATGTTTCAGCAAGCATTTGCGCAGGTGCTTCTCTCTAATTTCAATAAAAACAAGTGACACAACGTCTTTATTTGAATTTCTTACTTTTCAACATGAGCCATACAAATCATGAATCGATATGAATGCACTGATTCACGCGCTTTGAGTTTGTTGAAAAGCCATTCCGGTGGCGAGTCAACGTGAATGACGAATCATGAATGCGAATTTGACGAAATTTTTATCTACTATTCGCGAACTACATAAATCGCCGATCACACATCGCGAATACGCGCATAGTCTATAGCGCTAGCTTATCTTTTTGTTGCCAATTATATATACATATATATATAACTGATAACCGTTGACAAAAAATGTGTATACCTATTATCTAATAATATCTAATAATGCTCGATTATTGTATTCTTTTCTATATTCCTTTGATATAGTGCTTTGTAATATCCAGTGCTTAGTAATGCCCAAGAAAAACTGCCTGCATTTTTGCGTTTTGCCAAAATAGCAGATTGCTGTAAAAAAGGGTGAGACGACATTTTAAAAAACCATTCTCTCGCCCAATAATACTGAATAATGTCATG